CGTCAGCAAACACTATTATGGATAATGTTGATCTAAAATAATTAAATAATTTTTAAAAATGATTAAATCTTTTAAAAATTAATATAAAATAAACCGTAGCTCGGATGGGAAAACTTTGTACATGAAAGTTGCTCAGAACGACGAGACAAATCTGAATATGCAGCCTGTCTGTCCGTCCCACATCCCTAGCATAGAAAATAGGCAACTTTCCCCCTCCGGTTTCATCTGTCCGAAAACGCGAAACACCGGGGATATTTTCCCGGATGTTTTCCCCCATCGTCGGTATCACCTCCTACTGCGTTAGGGCACACCTGGCACCATTACTTGTCATGTCATGCATCATTATGCATCTGTTTGCATTGTATTCATTGTTTCTTCCCCTTCTTCTTTCCAGTAGACTACGAGACAGGCACCGTTGCTGGTGCCCCGGTCGACTACGTTGTTGACAACCCCTACTTGCCAGAGAAACTAGGCAAGCCACCCCCCTTGATCACCAGATATCGCCTATTTTTCTCTCTACTGCTTGCATTAGAGTAGTGTAGCATGTTACTGCTTTCCGTTAATCCTATTCTGATGCATAGTCTGTCCTTGCTACTACTGTTGTTACCTTTACCTGCAATCCTAAATGCTTAGTATAGGATGCTAGTATACCATCAGTGGCCCTACATTCTTGTCCATCTGCCATGCTATATTATTGGGCCGTGATCACTCGGGAGGTGATCTCGGGTATATACTTATATACATAATATATGATACTTGTGGTGACTAAAGTCGGGTCGGTTCGTAGAGCACCCATGAGTGATTCAGGGATTGGGACCGAAAGGACGTTTGTCCTGACGACCCTCTGAGTGGATCTTTGTGGCGGAGCGACAGGGCAGGTTGAGACCACCTAGGAAAGAGGTGGGCCTGGCCCTGGTCGGCATCTGTAGTTACTTCAATTAACATGCTTAACAAGATTTTGGTATTTGATCTGAGTCTGGCCACTGGCCTATACACATTGACCAACTACGCGGGAACAGTTATGGGCACTCGACGTCGTGGTATCAGTCGAAGCCTTCTTGACGTCAGCGTTTGAGCGGCACGCGCCAGATTGGACTGGAACGCCTGCTCTTGTATTAGGGAGGCTAGGTCTGTTTCGGGCCGCCCATGCAACGTGCAGGTGTGCAATGGGAGATGGGCCTAGACCCCTGCGCCATAGGATTTAGATCGTCGTGCTGACCTCTCTGTTGTGCCTAGGTGGGGATGCGACGTGTTGATCTTCCGACGCCTGGCATGACCCAGGAAAGTGTGTCCGGCCAAAGGGGATCGACCGTGTTGGGAAATGTGGTACACCCCTGCAGGGAAGTTTATCTATTCGAATAGTCGTGTCCCTCAGTAAAAGGATGACCCGAAGTTGTACCTTGACCTTATGATAACTAGAACCGGATACTTAATAAAATACACCCTTCCAAGTGCCAGATACAACCCGGTGATCGCTCTCTCACAGGGCGACGAGGGGAGGATTGCCGGGTAGGATTATGCTATGCGGTGATACTTGGTTAACTTACCATCTACTCTCTTCTTATGCTTAATGATGGATGCTGCCAGAAGCGTAGTCTTTGATAGGACAAGCTACCCCCCTCTTATTCCGGCATTCTGCAGTTCAGTCCACATATACTACCCCTTTCATTGATACCAATGCATACGTAGTGTAGCTCCTTGCTTGTGAGTACTTTGGATGAGTACTCACGATTGCTTTGCTTCCCCTTGTTCCCCTTTTCTATACCCGGTTGTTGCGACCAGACGTTGGAGTCCAGGAGCCAGACGCCACCGTCGACGATGACTCCTTCTACACTGGAGATGCCTACTACTACGTGCAGGCCGCTGACAACGACCAGGAGTAGTTTAGGAGGATCCTAGGCAGGAGGCCTGCACCTCTTTCGATATGTATCCTAGTTTGTGCTAGCCTTCTTAAGGCAAACTTGTTTAACCTCTGTCTGTACTAAGATATTGTTGCTTCCGCTGACTCGCCTATGATCGAGCTCTTGTATTCGAGCCCTCGAGGCCCCTGGCTTGTAATATGATGCTTGTATGACTTATTTTATTTGTAGAGTTGTGTTGTGATATCTTCCCATGAGTCCCTGATCTTGATCGTACACGTTTGCGTGTATGATTAGTGTATGATTAAATCGGGGGCGCCACAATGGCATGCGTTGTTGTATGAAGCTTTGTGGGCACATAGGATCTCAAGGCATGGTGCTACGAAAATGACTCCATATGAGTTAGTATATGGTCAAGAGGTTGTTTTACCGGTGGAAGTAAATTTGAATGCTTTGAGAATAGCAAAACAAAATGATTTATCGGTAGTAGACTTTTATAACTTGATGATGGACAATATTGATGAGGTTGCCGATAAACGTTTGGCTGCTTGGAAGGCCATAGAGAGGGACAAGTTGAGGGCAGCAACAGCTTACAATAAGAAAGTTAAGTTGAAGAATTTTCAAGTTGGTGATCTTGTCTGGAAAGTAATTCCGCCGATTGGTTCAAGAGACAGAAAATTCGGGAAGTGGTCTCCAAGTTGGGAAGGCCCTTTTAGGATTACAAGAATAGTTCCCGGAAACTCTTATTTGGTGGAATCCGTACAAGGGGCACTGTTACCTCGAGCTCTCAATGGCAAGTACTTGAAGAAATACCCCCTAGTGTGTGGCAAGAAGCCCAAGTAGGCAATGGCCGATATATGATTATCGCCCTTAGCACAAACATGACCGATACCTGATTATCGTCCTGAGGAAAATAAATGGCCGATGGAGTGTTGACATCGTCCTTAGAACAAGCTATGTGCAAGTTATTTTTTGGCACACAAACTTTGCCGAAAAACAGGGGGCATGTGTTGACGCCAGATTTTGGCATGGTCAAAAACACAATTAAAATGGCCTTAAATAAAAAGTGTTCAAAATGAGCAAGTTCTGTATCTTCAAAAGGAGAAAGTTTGATATTTCGGCCATAGCCATCCGATCTCATATCTAAGGCCGAAGTTGTGTTCAAAGTACTGAGATTTTGTATTCAGAACACTATTTGGCTGCTTACGCCCCAAGACGGCCTCATATGAAAAAATGATCTATACGAATTGTCTTCGTCTCGTCGAAATGATCAATTTTGAAATAAAAATTGTCCCAATCCGAGTTCGTATGCAAAAGTTAGAGGCAACACTTCGCGAGCTGGCCCTGAGTGAAAAAGCGACGCGAGGGACCAGACACCCACCTAGGAAGTGTCTGATGGGTTGCGTGAGTTATTTGGCCTTTGCCGGCTGAATGAAAGCCTTGCCGGGGTGGAAACCTTGCCGGGGTGAAAACCTTGCCGGTGTGAAAGCTTGCCGGGGTAGAGAGCTTGCCGGGGTGGAAAGCTTGACGGGGTCAACCCGACCGAAAATTTGGAGATGGGCTCGAAAGGTTATTCAGATGACCTCGGATAGAAAAGTCTTCTACACGGAAGTTGTGCGTATCGTCAAAACGGTCAACTTTGATTTTGGAGTCATCATCATCAGAGATAGTATACAGCCTGTAGAGTTGCTGAAAGACTCGGACAGCCAAGAAAACTACATGACCAAATCCGACTGGAAGTTAAAGATGACCTCGTAAAGTATTGAAGATGACCTTATTTGGAAAAATGATCAACATGAGAGTTGTTCGTCTCGTCGAGGCGCATAAATTTGGTATTTTTATCTTCTCAATCGGAGGTCATATGCAAATTCCACGGCCTATACAAGGAACAAGACAGAAGTTTGGGCTAGATTCGGGCTGAATCCCCGAGGACGTGAATTGATGTAATTTTCTTGTAAGGAAAGCCTAATGAATCCTTTGCTTGTACGGGAAGTCTAGCCGCCTCATATATATGTTGGGGGTGACGGCCGATTGAAACAACACACAATTGAACAAATCAATATACTACTTTTCAGTCTACGCTTTATCTCTCCATCGTTTTTCTCTCTCGTTCTTCGCTGTTATTCGTGTCTAAGAGCTGCGAATCTTGAGGCTCTAGGGCGAGCGAATCGACCTAGGGCAGCCCATAGCCGCCGCACTCCCTGACGGGGTCCCTCCCGGAGGTGTGGGGTTTTCGGGTCTGCAAAAGCACCCGTCGACTGTCTTGCGTATCGCGCTGTCCGTCGGGTCTCCTTCGACGTGAGCTGTGATGCATCACTCCCGGCGTCGAGAATACACGTGACGTGTTCGTGTGTCAACAAGTTGTGACGATAAGTGGGACGCCCGCAGACAGTCTCACTTGCAGCCAAACCCATTCCATAACCATGGAGACGGCAGCAAACAAACCGTGGGAGCACAACGGGGCACAAGCGGCAAACGAGAAAATTTCGGTGCATGCCCCGCACCGCATCCCCGCGCTAGCTTTCGAAATTCAAAATTCACAACCACGGGGGGAAGAGAGGATCGCGGAACGGTGCACCTCCTGATCCTCGCTTTCCTCTTTTCCCGTACGCATACGCATGCAGCAGGCGGCAGGCAGGCAGGAGAGCAAGAGGAGGAACGGCAACCAACCCCAAAAGCAAAGGAGAAGATTTCGGCGTTTTCCTCAAACAGCCACCTGATCGTATCTCATCATCGCCCGCCCCTCCGACGACCGCGGCCAGAAATAGAGCACGACCGGCCCGGCCCGTCCCGTCCCGTCCCGTCTCCCCCGTGCGTGAGCCTCTGACGGGTGGGCCCGGACGGAAGCCACGGACGGACGTGGGAGGGGTGGGGCGGCCGAAGCCCGCCCACCACCTCCGCGATCAGCTCGTTAAGCCAACACAGTGCACAGCGAGCACGCAGCGATTCCGCATTCCCGCCCACCTTTTTCCGTCGCCAGAGCATCCAACGGCCTTTTTAACCACCCCCTCCCTCCCTCTCCCCCATTCCGATCTCATCTCATCGCCAAAGCCTCCGCCCACCTTCGCCTCCACCCCTGCCAAACCCAAAACCCTAGCGCTCGCGTTCCCCCCACCCCTCGCTCACCGGTGACCACCACCCATGGCGTCCATGTCCCCGGTGACGCCCGCGGCGGCCGAGCCCAGGCGCTCCACGCGCCTGCTGTCCAACACCAAGCCGGCCGACGCCGACGCCGACGCCGACGCGGAGGCTGAGGTCGGCGCCGAGCTCGAGGTCGAGCGCGAGCGGTCGACGTCGCGCGGCGGCAAGCGCCGGCGCAAGGCGGCGGGGAAGGGCACCGGCGCCCGGAAGAGGGCGGCCAAGGGCAAGCGGAAGGAGCCGGAGTCGGCGGCGGGGGCGATGGAGGTGGAGGATGCCGGCAGCGGGATCAACGGCGACGTGTACCCGGAGGAGCCCGACTCGGAGGAGATGAAGTTGATCGAGGAGGAGGAGCAGGCCGACCATGGAGAGGAGGGGTCCGCGGAGACGCGTGGCGCCAGGAAGAGGGTGGCCCCGCCGCGCGCCCAGAGGAGGCCGGAAGCCTCGGCGGACCACTTCGTGGGCGAGCCCATTCCGGGTGACAAGGCCAGGCGACTCTGGCCGAGCCGCTACGAAACCAAGGTATATATGGCGTCTATCCTTCTCTTGTCAGCACGTAGCTGAGCTGGGTAGGCGCGCATCATCTTCTTCATTCATGCACTGGAAATGCCGACTGAAAATTTCCTCTACTTTGGGCCGCAGGATTCTGATTCACGCTCTAGGCGGTATGTCTTGTTTCGCTCTTGATCTCACCTTGTTGTAAATGGAGCTCCTTTTGCGCTGCTTTTAATATGTGAACCGGATCTTCCATCTGTGCATGCAGATCTAATGATACGGAGGAGGAAATTGGCGCTCAATGCCACTACACATCTGCATGTGTGGATGATGCAATCTTCAACCTCAATGATGATGTCTATGTGAAGGTGAACCATTTTTAGTACTGAGTTCAGAGAAATCATTACTTAGTTCGTTTAATATATTTATTAGTAGTTGCATTGATTATTCATCGACTGCCATTATCTTCTTAGCTAGAAGGTTAATTCGTACATGATTGCAGCGTATGAAGATGATTAATACAGTCTTTGTTACTGCCGTTTTTGCTATGCCAACTGTTGAAGTGTTGTGCTTCTTTTTGTTTCTGGCGTGATGATAGCTTCTAGCCATTCAATTTGTGACTGCAAAATGCATGCACTCAGGATACTGTACTGTGTATACTAAAATTTGCATATAAACTAAATTCTATTGGATGATGGTGATTAAAGATGTGCATGTAAATCAACTTCTGAATTTATTGATTGATGATTGTCAAGGTATTGGTTCCTTTTAGCACACTAGGACTAGTACAAGTTTGTCTTCTGGGATCTCTCCTGCATCATACCGAGAGGCCTTCTCATTTACTCCAAAATATTTTGTCAACCTTTTTCATGTGTTTGAATTCACTCTGTGGTCCTGTTTTCTTAATTTAAATCTAGATTGTTTGAGCTATTAATTGGTTTCTTTTCTTCTTCCTGATTTCCCACTGTACAACTCTTTTTCTCGTGTTATATCTTCAATTCAAATGTTTAAATTTATTGTCCTATATTATGTGTGAATCTGATCTGTGTTACTTCGAATTTTAAGAAATGTCATGGATAATGTTCAAGCTTTTTTTATTTCGTTTGCATGATGGGTATAGGCAAAATATTCTATGTTTTCATCTGCATTCTTCTTGTTTATAAGCTACTCCCTCTGTCCCAAAATGTTCATAGTGTCAAAAATGATCTTACGTTTTGGGACAGAGGGAGTATGTTTGAACGAAGTTTACTAATCATGCTATTTATTTTGAGTGACTGCAGGCTGGTCCCAATGAGGAAAATTACATTGGCCGGATTACAGAGTTTTTTGAAGGAACAGATCATGTTTTATATTTCACATGCCGTTGGTTTTTCCGTGCTGAAGATACGGTATGTCATGAAGTTCTTTTTTTTCCTAAATGCAATTCAGCATGTGCCTAAGACAAATTTGCAGGTCATCTCACCCAACTTGCTAGAGGTCCATGATCATGAACATGATCGGAAGCGTGTTTTCCTTTCAGAGGAAAAGAATGATAACATGATTGAGTCAATAATTTCTAAACTAAATATCATTTATGTTGACCCAAGTGTAAGTTATTTGTTCTTTCTTTCAAGAAAAAGAGTTTTTGCTCATACTACTTGTCATTCTTCTGCTGATCTTTTTGTTGTTATTTTGTGAAACATTTACAGAAGACACCTCAAGAAAGAGATCAGTTAATATCAAATTCTGATTTGTATTATGACATGTCGTACTCAGTTGCATATTCAACATTTGCAAATATTCCAGCAGGTAACCATTTCTGGATACTTACATCTGTTGCAATCGTCATAGGTATATCACCTAGTTTATTTTTTATTCCTTGTAAGCATCTTAAAAGATATAGACTTGGATGGCGTGATCATGAGCTTATACTGAACTGGTACAGGACAGTACTGATTTAATACATCTCAGAAGTACATTCGGCGAAATAAAAGAATGTTTTGATCAACATTGTATACCATGAAAAATCCTGTCATGTTTATTCTGTTGTAGAAAACGATGGTGCAACAGACAGTGAAGTGGCATCAGATATTTCCTGTGAAGAGGGGAAACCAGTGGCTGACCCTGTGGGATCATCTGATGCACGAAGGGAAACAGCAACTCTGCTGGATCTTTACTCTGGATGTGGTGCCATGTCAACCGGGCTTTGCCTGGGTGCTGCATTGTCCGGCATCAAACTAAATACTGTATGTTTTGTGCCTATGGTCTTGATACTTTAGCTGACCCTGAAGGTACCATAACTGACATTCTTAATGTTCTCGTGCAGAAATGGGCTGTAGACATGAATGAATATGCTTGCAACAGTCTAAAGCATAACCATCCTGGCACCCAGGTACCAGTTGAAATTGGCAAAGTGCCACTGAGTTGCATTCCCTCTTTCTGACTGTGCTGCATTCCCTCTTTCATCAACCAACTTGTACGATGTTGCCACTGAGTTGTAGGTACGAAATGAGAAGGCGGAAGATTTTCTTGCGCTCCTCCAGCACTGGAATGCACTCTGTCAGAAGTATGTCGTCCACAGTAGCAACTCTTCTGGCTCTGACCTGGCTCAGATGTCAAATGATGACGAAGATGATGAAAATGAAGCTCTACCAAATGATCTATTTGAGGTAGAGAGACTTCTTGATATATGCTATGGCGATCCCAATAAAACCGGAAAAGATGGCCTGTGGTTCAAGGTACTATAGACTTGATTGCTCAAATCCCCTACTTGTGTAGTTCATGTAGTCAATTGTTTCCTTGCTTGTATTATTCATTGCTTACTTAGAACATAGTTATACGATTTTTGTCTAAAGATAGGAATTATTTATATAGGTGCGGTGGAAAACATATGATCCTAGTCATGACTCATGGGAGCCAATTGATGGACTTAGGTTGGCATCTTTTTCCTTACATTTATCTTCATATATATTCGCCAATACTGCCTTATCCTTGTTTGCATTTCAGCGATTCCCCTGAGTGTATTAAGGAATTTGTTCAGAGAGGATATAGGGAATCTATTTTGCCCTTGCCTGTAAGTAAATTCCTCCTTGTTCCTTTTGGGTTAGTTTTCATGTGGTGTCTAATTCGTTGTTTTCCAAAGGGGTCTGTTGATGTTATCTGTGGGGGTCCTCCCTGTCAAGGCATCAGTGGATTGAACAGATTCAGGAATTACAATGAGCCGCTGGAAGATGATAGAAACAAACAGTTGGTTGTCTTTATGGATGTTGTTAACTATCTGCGACCTAAATATGTTCTGATGGAAAACGTCGTAGACATTCTAAAATTTGCAGATGGATTCCTGGGGCGATATGCGCTTAGTCGTCTTGTCTCCATGAGATACCAAGCTAGGCTTGGATTGATGGTTGCAGGATGTTATGGGTTACCTCAATTTAGGATGCGGGCCTTTCTGTGGGGAGCTCTTCCTTCTCGGGTTTGTCTCTTTTCTGGGTTATTTTTTTTACCTTGTGACACTATTCCTGAATAAGAAGGTACCCTTGGCAATGTAGGTTCTCCCAAAATTCCCGCTTCCGACCCATGATGTTGTTAAGCGAGGAGTCGTACCCAATGCATTTTCGGTATGAAAATACATCACTGCCCACCATGTTTCTGTGATCAATTTTCTTGAACACTATTTTTGCTATTATTTTTTCTAACCAAAACGTTGTTCTGTCCTCAGCAATGTCTCGTTGCATACGATGAAATAGACGACAAACGTTTAAAGAAAGCTCTTGTCCTTCAAGATGCACTATCTGATTTACCAAAGGTTAACATTGACTTTTTTACTCTATTCATTTATTTCTGGAATGCTGCTTGAATTTTGTTATGTCTCTATGAATTATAATGTTTCCTACAGGTTCCAAACTATCAACCTAATGATCTCATGGAAAATCGCATTAACCCCAAAACAGAGTTCCAGCGCTACATCCGGCTCAGCCGTAAAGGTGTGACCTCTTGAGTGTGCAAACTTCATGTCTTTACTTTTTAATGAAATTTCCTTTCATTTGTTATGCCTTCTGTCTTTGCATATGCAGAGTCGCACTCTTTTTTTTTCTGTTTCCAATAATCTGGGTGGCTCAATGATGTCACCTTGCCATAGTTTTCACTATTATAATGTTTGTGTATGATTTCATGATTATATTACTGTTCTAAGTTATTCTGTTCTGTCATTCATCTGAAGACATGGAGGATTACTCATTTGGAGATGCTACTCCTAGTCCTAAGGCATGTCAACTGTTTGATCATCAACCGCTAGAGTTAAGCACTGATGATTATCAAAGAGTGAAGCAAATTCCTTTTAGAAAGGCAAGCTAGTGCTGATCAGTCTCATGTTCTTTCTCTTGTTGCCTTATCCTTCTTGTTTCTTAGCAATTATTCTATTCCAGGGGGCCAACTTCCGTGATTTGAAGGGTGTCCAGGTTGGGGAAAATAACACTGTTGAGTTTAATCCACACATTCCTCGTGTGTTTCTGCCTTCTGGAAAACCTTTGGTACTTGAATCTTTTGTGGAGTAGTTTCATCAGCTGTAATGTATGTATATTTCGCAAGTATTAATCATCCTTGCCTCTCTGCCAGGTGCCTTACTATGCCATGACCTACATCAAGGGGAAATCACCGAAGTAAGTAAGCTGATGATCCTTCTGTATTATTTGTAGAACTATACTGTTAACACTTGTCATGTTGCTTCGCAGACCATTCGGACGCCTGTGGTGGGATGAAACTGTTCCAACCGTTGTCACCAGAGCCGAGCCTCACAACCAAGTAAGCAATTAACAAATTTCTGGTCTTTATTATGATTTTATAACTTGCCGATTGCTTTTATTATGACTGAACATGGATGGTGTTTTGCAGATTATCTTGCATCCCAACCAGCATCGAGTTCTGACTGTCCGTGAAAATGCACGGTTACAAGGCTTTCCAGACTATTACAGGCTCTTTGGCCCTATAAAACAGAAGTAAGTTCTAAGTTGATCAACTCGACATCATCCAGTAGTGCATTGCATCGAAATGAACTATAACTGTATGGTTTCTGTAAGGCCGGTAGCTCTGAATCTCTGGACCGTCTTTAGTATGAAGCTGATTTGTGTGTGCTGTGCATGTTTTATGCAGATATATTCAGGTTGGCAATGCGGTTGCTGTTCCCGTTGCTCGAGCTCTGGGATATTCCCTTGGACAGGCTTATCGTGGTGCATTGGTTGGAGGGCAGCCACTGTTCGAACTGCCTGAGAATTTTGCTTCTGTGGGTCAAGCAGCAGCCACAGCATCACCTGTAGGAGTAGTGGAGAAGTAGTGTAGGCAGAATAGTTATTTGACTTGTGGTTGATTTGGGTCATATACTTGCGTGAGATGTCGAAACATTGCCATTTATCATGGAAAACTGAGTGGTCCAACTCTTGAAACGTTTGTAACTTAAACTAGGTTCAGTTATTTTCCCATTGTGTGCCTGTCTATTCCTTCAGATTCAGATATTGAGAGGAAATGGAGGTTCTGATTAAACCCCTATACTGTGGTCTGTTTATGTTTTGCACTTCTGCTAGACCACATCTCTTCCGGAGGGAATGAAAAGCTATTGCAGCTTTAGAATCCCCCTTGCCTCTATGCAGAAATGGGACAAATTCTTGGTGTAGCATCTGCAATATCTTATTTGGTTTGTCATCACTCAATAGTAGTAGCATACTGTTCTTTGAACTGAAAAATAGTCCTCAATCTATAATAGAATTGTATTCCTACTGTGTTTTAAATTTCGAGATACTCAACAACATTGAAACATATTGTTTCTGTATGTAAACAGTTGTCCTCTTATGTTTTCTTTCAGAGTTAACTCTGATGATTCTGTACTAGTATATCAGAATCATTTTTACTATTTGTGATTTCAGTGTAACCACTGTGCACCCTTGCCACTAGGCTACAGCTTAGTTCTCAGTGTAGCCGAATATGATTTCAGAAGTTTTAGGTACGCAACAGATTGCAGTTCTTCATGCTACTTCTGAATGACATGATACCAACACGACGGCCGCTGTACCAGGGACCTGGCTCTGCACATTCACTCAATATGTTTCCCGAAATATAAAGTGTTCGCTGTATTGTGTGTGTGATATGTTTTGCCTGAACTTGTTCATGTCCACAAATCCACATTTTGTGATTTTATATGATCCATGCCTACAGGAAGGTGCAGATGTAAAATCTACTGACCCCGGCACTCCCTTGCCAACTACTGATTGATGCTAAAGGGTGGTGCAGACTATAGTATCCCAAATACTCCAGTGTGTTTTATTTTAGTTTACAGCCCAGTTTTTTATAGTGATTGAAATTACAACTTTGTTAACTGGATTTTTCTACATTACCTCATAAAATGGCAACAGCCAATGTGCCATGATCACCATGGTTGAGTGGCACTACACTGAAATTGATCCGCGCATCCATGGACGAGAATGTGGTTGTCAGGCCTAGACCTGACGATCTGAATCTCCCAACTTCTCTCAAGAAACCTGGTGTAACCGAAGCTGCCGCCGAGCGTGACATTACGGCTTGGCGCCGAGCCAGTCAATCCCTCCCGTCCGTGACGCATCCAATGGCCAAGAACGAACTTGCTATGTCGGCACTGTTCACCATCCGGCAAATCACCTTCCTTATGCCGCTTCTCCCATTTGAATTTGATGTTACTTTTACCGTGGACTGCAAGAGAAGGACTTGGACTCATCAACTGCTTCAGCTACGGCCTGCAATGGCATGGTAAACACGAGCATTAATGCGGTTTGACAGCTCCGCTCAAGCGGCTTTCAACCCTCCGTTCTGCCTTCAGGCTAAAAATGGAGAAAACATAAAGGACAGCAATGGCGAGTGTCCAAGAAATGTGACGAAACCTACGCCACCCAAAGCCTACTTCCCTCCCCCCGTCTCTCCGGCTCCGTTTCAACCCCTTCTTTCTCTTCTTCTTTTGCGGAAGAACAGGGGAAAAAAGGAAGGTACATCACCATGGATGCTTCGACTCCCTCGCGTTTTCACGTCTTCGGTTCGAATTTCAGTGTCGCAGAGCCGAAGAATTTAATTTGTCTACCGTGAAATCTGGTTTTGCATTTGCGTGGTTACCATTGATCCTTTTTTGCGGGAATTTGCGGTTGATTGGTGGTTCTCAAATGTGAGCTAAATTGGTGATCAACTTAGGTCTGAAATGTCTAGCTCGCCATGGCTGCAGGGGTTCATTATGGGGAGGGCGACGGCGGCGAGGAGCTAGCGGCGTTCCGACCCAGAGCATCTTCTAGGTGGTGGTGGAGTCATCTTCACCGGGAAGAGCTCCATCGTGGCGAGCTGCGCGGGACGCTAACGAGGGATCCTCCTATCAGCAATGGACGACTCGCCGCTAAGCCGCGGACCCCTGGGCCCCCTGCTAGGTAGCGGTCCACTGGACCCGTCGTCGGCGGCGGCAGATTCGGATGGCTCGGGTGGATCGTCGTCCGCAGATTCGGATAGCTCCGGTGGATCGTCGTCATCGGGATCCCCGCCGTCTCCCTCCAGCCCACAATCGTCCACGCAGTCGACCCCACCGCCAGGGTCCTCGGACTCGGCGCCGTCGCCGCCCTCGCCGTCTCAGTCACCGCCGCCGGCTACGCCAGCAGGCACCAGCGGGCCGCCCCCGGCTCAAGTCTCGCCGCCGGGGTCAAATGCCATCCCGTCTCCGCAGGCTCCGAAGAGCAACGGGGGCGGCGGCGGCGGCGGCTCCTCGGAGAGCGGGGGCGGCTCCAAGGGCGGGGGCGGGTCGAGCGGCCGCGGCAAGGGCGGGAGCAAGCAAGACGATTCTCCGCCCGTGGAGGCCGTGGTCGTCGGCGTGGTGATCGGGGTCCTGGTCTTCGCCCTGCTGCTGTGCATCGCCGCGTGCGTGTGCTGCGCCAGGAGGAAGAAGAAGAAGCCGCCCATGGCCATGCCCTTCTACACCGACCAGCATGGTACGGCCGGCGCGCGCGCGCATCGCATGCATCGTGCCCATTCCATTCACCATGGAGATTCTTGGCAGAGATCTAACCGTGACCATGGCGGCGCGCGGGCGCGTGCAGGGAACGTGTACTACGCGAACAACATGCCGAGCCCGTGGCAGCAGAGCGGCGGCCCGGTGGACGGGCACGGCGGCGTGGGGTGGCACCCGCAGTACCCGCTGGGCCAGGGGCCGCTGAGCGAGGAGATGATCATGAGCGGGTCGCAGGGGACGGGGTCGTCGATGCCCCCGCCGTCGCCGGCCATCTTCGGGTCGCAGAGCTCGTTCACGTACGAGGAGCTGGCGTCGGCGACGGGCGGCTTCTCCAAGGCGAACCTGCTGGGGCAGGGCGGGTTCGGGTACGTGTACAAGGGCCTGCTGCAGGGCAGCGGCAAGGAGGTGGCGGTGAAGCAGCTCAAGGCCGGCAGCGGGCAGGGCGAGCGCGAGTTCCAGGCGGAGGTGGAGATCATCAGCCGCGTCCACCACCGCCACCTCGTCTCCCTCGTCGGCTACTGCATCGCCGGCGCCTCCCAGCGCCTGCTCGTCTACGAGTTCGTCGCCAACGACACCCTCGAGCGCCACCTCCACGGCAAGGGCCTGCCGGTCATGGACTGGCCCAAGAGGCTCGCCATCGCGCTCGGCTCCGCCAAGGGCCTCGCGTACCTGCACGAGGACTGTAAGTCTCTTCTCCTCTTCTTTGGCCACATCGATCCATGGCGTTCGTGCTTCTGATGTCGTGCATTATAAAGGCAATCCGAGGATCATCCACCGTGACATCAAGGCGGCCAACATTCTCTTGGATGAAAATTTCGAGGCTAAGGTGATTAGGCTGTGAGATTTGTGAATCACAGTGCACGAAATTCGTGAGATTGGAGTGAAAACTCGCCTGAATGTTGGCAGGTCGCGGATTTCGGGCTCGCCAAGTTGACGACGGACAACAACACCCACGTCTCCACGCGCGTCATGGGGACGTTCGGGTGAGCAGAGCACGCACGCACGCACGCTGAACAGAGCAGCAAGTGTCGCCATTGCGGCACCATGGGAGCAGAGCTCGAGCGTTGATGTCTTCTCCGCTGTTGGGTCGTGCATGCAGGTATCTGGCGCCGGAGTACGCGTCCAGCGGCAAGCTGACGGACAAGTCGGACGTCTTCTCCTTCGGCGTGATGATGCTGGAGCTCATCACCGGCCGGCGGCCCGTGGACCCCAGTAACTACATGGAGGACAGCCTGGTCGACTGGGCGAGGCCGCTCCTGGCGCGCGCGCTGTCGGAGGGCGGCAGCTTCGACGAGGTGGTGGACCAGCGCCTGGAGAATAAGTACGACCGGCAGGAGATGGAGCGCATGGCCGCCAGCGCCGCCGCCGCCGTCCGGCACTCCGCCAAGCGCCGCCCCAAGATGAAACAGGTCAAGATCGATCGATCGGCAACTCTCAATCGATGCTGAGCAACTCGCCGTGAACTGACAGTGATTCTTGCACCGTTTCTACAGATCGTTCGCGCGCTGGAGGGCGACGCGTCGCTGGACGACCTGAACGAAGGGATGAAGCCAGGGCAGAGCATGATATACAGCTCCGACGAGTCCGGCAGCTACGCGGCCAACATCAACAGGCTGAGGCAGGTCGCGTTCGAGAGTAGCGGGGAGTACACCAACGAGTACAGCGGGACGGGGGAGTCGGGGGAGACGACACAACGGCATCACTAACCATTAATCCCCTTGGAGGAGCTCTTCACCGCATGGACCTGTGATGTAAGTTGGCCGTGTAAAGGGAATCGATTGGTGTATATACGTACGAGGTGTACACTATGGTTGATGATGATGTAACTGCTTCAATGCTTGTGAATCGGGGCTGTATTATCGTGTAAAGTTGATGTATCCGTGTACTTACATGATGTAATGCGCAGCTCTTGGGTTGTATTAGCTCAGTGGAAAGAGAACTTCAATGGAGAGCCTCGATATCTGGCATTGTTAGAGCGTCCCTACTTCTGTCCATAAAATCCTTTGACTCCTATAAAAAAATGTCTGATTTGAGGAGTTAGGCTAGTCATAGTGGGAGTAACTTAGATAGTAACCTAGCGCACTTTGAGAAATTTTTGCTTATGTGGCATGTAGTTAATGAGAAGTGGTAACATAATATGTTAGTGTAACATAGCGCTTTCCAAGATAAGATGAGTCTACAAGCCATTAAATAAAGTCACATATGACACTACTAGTATATTACTTTGCATTATAAATGTGGTAACTTAGACTAGTGTCATGTATAAGTTACTCCCCACTATGACTAGCCTTAGAGCATCTCTAGCCCTTGACGAATGACCTAGCGGCCGATTGGACGGTGCGCTAGATGGAATTGTGCATTGTACACTTTATAGTCGGTCAACCAGACGCAATCGATCGTATTAGGGTTAACCTTAATGCATGTGTGAAATACAAACCCTAGATGCCGCACTCCCTCCACTCAGAGCGCACCTTCGACTCTAACGTGTGATGCTCAAATCCTTGTACATTTGGGATACCTTGGAGGTGTTGCACATGCGAATATGCGATGCTTGGATGAATCATTCATGGGATCCAGTAGGAGTTGTACCTGGGATCACGTGCAGAAGTGTGACTACATCAGCATTGACGCGTGACATCGACAACCTTTCACTGCACTGCGTATCAAAAGGTAATTCATGGCTCCACTGTCCATTACTTCCAGAAGTTCCTCGGATGAATGCGGTAGAAAATTTTGATTTATGCTAGCATGGCCTACCCATTATCCTACAAGAAAGACCATGGATGTCCTCGATACCTCCTCCGCGATTGGCCCCACTCCGATGGCACCGGCCAACGGGAAGAGGCACCGTTACCCGATAGTGAAGGCAATGGAGGTCAGGCGAGAAAGAAGAAGGCTAGGACCCACTCCGAAGACATCTTCTCCTTCCCCCCTGTCGAGCTTACGCCATCTTTGTAACGCCCGGATAATCAAGCTATAGTAATCCCATACTAATGATGCCATGTCATCACTTTTACAGTTGCTAGGTCCCACGTTGTTTCAAAACCAATTAAAATTCAAATTTAAAATAAAGTCAAATAATTAAAGTTTCCAAATGTCAAAACTAAAATGTTCAAAGTGTCGCAAATATTTCATCACTAATTATGGTGGTGACCCAACATTTTTATAAGGTGTTTTAATGTCCTTTAATAATTAAAACAATGGCTAAAATAATAATTTAATTGCTTTTCAAATTATAATTAATATACTAATTTATTTAGCTACTAAACTAAATGTGACAGTAGCCTAAATTATAATGATATTTTAGGTGCAAGTGTTATATTTTATAAAATTAAAAATAAAAAGAAACTAAAAGAAAACAGATCTAATAAAAGAAAAACTAAATTAAAAATAAAAAGGAAACCCCCTGCCCCCCGGGCCTTGGCCCAGCTGGCAACGGGCTGCCCAGCCCACCTACCCCCCACTGGTCGGCTTCTCCCCCCTGTTCCCCTGGCACGGTCGCTATAGGGGTGAGCTCTGCCCGACCACCTCACCGGCATCGATGGGGAGGGGGACAAGGGCAAGCCCTCCGCCTCCTCGATCCCCCGCACCCCACTTGTGCTCTCTGCCTCCCTCTCCTGCTCCCTCTCACTAGACCCCCTGTCGGTGGGAAACAACACCTATGGGGTCACTGGGATCCCTTCTACGGTTGGCGGGCGCGGGGTTGTGCAAAGAGCGGGTCTAGCGGTCAGCACACAAATCGTTTACCCAGGTTCGGGCCGCGGAGACGCGTAAAACCCTAGTCCTGCTTTGATGTATATTTAGGTGTTCTTGTGTTCTTGAACTAGCCGTGGTGGCTCTCTAGTCCAAAAGATCCGAATCCCTCTCCAGTACGCCTCGGGCCTCCTTTTATAGACAAAAAGGGGTCACCACAGTGGCACACAAGAGGTGGAAAAGGAGTACAGGGGCTGAGTCTATCCCCTGGCACCGTCGGACAAATGCATTTAATGCGCTACCGACGTGCCCCTCTTGCTTTATTGGGGACGGCAAAGACGCTCGTCCCAACTGTCATCGCCTCGCCTGGCTCCGACGCGCGCCCAAACTGACGAGGCGTTGTAGCGCCACGTTGGCTGGCTGCTGGGCTGGCGCAGTGGCAGAGCCTTCATGAAGATCTGCATGCCACCACGCAGGTGCTTGCTGAGTTGATGTAGAGGCCGCGTGCTGCCACGCAGATGCCCGCTCAGCTGGTCAAGCTGGCAGCTGTATGGGAGCGGTGGCGGAGTCTTGGCGGACGCGGGCCTGGCTGCGGCCCTGCAGGCGTCCTCGGCAAGGGTCTTGCTGAGGCACCGCGGTCGTCCCCGCAAGGATCTTGCCGGGGGTCTCGTGGATCTCCTTGGCAAGGATCTCGTCAAGGATCGTCGTCTTCTGGTTTCCATCTGATCTTGTGTATCTATGATCTCTACAAAGGTCTGCATGCCACCACGGAGTGCCTCCCGAGCCTTGGTTCCAATATGGTGTGGGAACCCCTTGGGCTCAAGGGTGGCGCACTCTGCTGGCGTCAGGCAAGTTGCCCCGGCAAGGATCTTGCCGAGCCTGCGGAAGCCACCCGGCAAGGGTCTTGCCGGGGGAGTCCACCTCGCCCTCTTGCTCTCTCTCTGCGTCTCTGGTCTTGGCGTTGCTTTGGTTGTCTTGTGCTCCGGCATCCCACCTCTGCCATGCTTAGTGTGGCCGTGGGCGCGGCTCTGACTACCCGTGCACAAGTAAAGGGGTGCAAAAGGAGAGCCCCTACTTTTGTACACCGACAGGAGCCCCCGGGCCTGGGCCACACATAAGTGCGACGCGTTGTTGGGCTAGGTCCAGAACGGTGCGCGGGCAGGTGGGGTGGATTTTTACCGCAGTAATTTCTCCGTCCGTTGTGCTTCCCCATGACCCGCGTTGAACGCGCGATGTGGAGGGTCATGCGTGGGGCGGTTTCCGCACGCATGCGTCATATCGTGGTAAAGAGGCGGCTCGCTCCTTCCCCGTAAAAAGAGGAAAACGCAGAGGCGCGACTCATTTACTGAGTGGGCTCAGGCCGTGGTCTTCAAGGCGCCCGCGCCCCACGACCACGGGGTGGAGAACGGCCGTCTCATCTGTCCCCTCGCTTTCCGCTTGCCCGCCATGTGTCCCCCATGCTCTGAAGATGGTAGGCGGTGGGTGCGGGCCTTGAATGGCGAGGCGGGGAAACGGGCCGCTGCTGATTGGGGCAGTGGGTCGGCCTCGATTCTCTGCGCCCCTGATGGTCGGATTGGCTGAGTGGGGCGGCCGAGTCCCGACCCCGCCCCTTTATAAGAAGGGGCAGGGGATGGCACCCCACAATCTTTCATCATCCCTTTTCTTCCACCTCGGCTCCGTTCTTTCATCTGCCATGGCGAGAGGGGGCGCCGGTCCTTCGACGGTGGCGGCGAGGGTCTCTGCTCGACAGCGCATCCCTCCTTCCCAAGAGCCCGTGGCGGCGGAGCCGGCCACGAGAGGAAGGGGGAGGGGGCGAGGGTGAGGTCGGCGAGGTGCTCGGGGAAGAGGGGGACGGGGCGGCGCATCGGCCTTGCCTCCGCCAGCGATGCCTCCTCTGATGGAGGGCCACGTCGGGGACCAGCCTCGTGAGTTCTTCATCAGGCTGCATCGGCCACCGCATCGCCGCCTTCATCTTCCTGCGCCATTCGCTCGGGAGATGGAGCTTGATCCGCCCTAGACCCTAAGGTTGCACATGAGGGGCTGCGTGAACGGTGGCACGCGGGTCGACGTCGACTTTCCCGCCCCTCAGGTCATGCATATTCGCCGCAGATGGAAGACCTTCGCTCGCATCGATAGCCTAGCGGCGGGGCTTATTCTCTATTTCAAATTAATGGAGAACGGCCTGCTCTCTGTCAAGGTCTTTGAAGACTCTGGAACTCGCCTAAAGTGCTGCATGGAGAGCTCCTCCGATGATGAAGACTCCTCTTCAAGCGGGAGAGGTGAGGAGGACAGCGATAGCAACGACGAGAGCGCCAAGCGAGGGCACGTCGACCTCGTCTCCGACAGACCGCGTCGCCCCTCCCTTCGTCGTGCGCTCTGCCGAGGGCTGAGGGAGTCCTGGACTAAGGGGTCCTCGGGCGTCCGGCCTGTTATCCATGGGCCAGACTGATGGTCTGTGAAGACATGAAGGCCAAAGACAGTAGCTGTGTCCGGATTGGACTCTCCTTGGTGTGGAAGGCAAGCTTAGCGGTCAACTATGAAGATTCCTTCTTATGTAACCGACTCTATGTAAACCCTAGATCCCCCGGTGTCTATATAAACCGGTGGGGTTAGTCCGGAAAGAGAATATTCATTATCATAGTCATACATGTTAGACTTCTAGGGTTTAGCCATTACGATCTCGTGGTAGATCAACTCTTGTAACACTCATATTCATCAAGATCAATCAAGCAAGACGTAGGGTATTACCTCCATAGAGAGGGCCCGAACCTGGGTAAACATCGTGTCCCCCGTCTCCTGTTACCATCGATCCTAGATGCACAGTTCGGGACCCCCTACTCGAGATCCACCGGTTTTGACACCGACATTGGTGCTTTCATCGAGAGTTCCACTGTGCCATCAACGAGAGGTTCGATGGCCCCTCTGATCGTCTATAGTGACGCTATCCAAGGAGAAACCTTCCTCCCCGGACGGATTTTTGTATTCGGTGGCTTCATACTGCGGGCCAACTCGC